ACGGCGGAGCGGTATAGAGACGAAACGGCAGAAACCAGTGGTCAGGGGCGGAGCTGGTTGCACATGGACCACCGTGCGTGCACGTGCGTGTCGTCGACATTAACAACGTTAATACCAACGCTAACGCGAACACGTATACGCGGTTTCTAGCGCGACTAGCCGTGCGGAGATGGACGACGGCAGTGCGACGGCCGGGTGACGGGGAGAAACGTACGCGCGTGCAAATGGCCGGGGAGAGTTTCTTACCATCGACCGCGGAACAATGCGTCGCGAGCAGCCTGCCTTTGCTCTCCTTTTCTTCTTTTCTCCTTCCGACCTTCTCCGACGGTGTGCCGAGAAAATTCTCGGAACGAAGGAACGCGTGTGCACTCGCGTGTGTGCGTACGAGTCCCTAATCGTCAGGTCCCTCCTAGGCCAAGGGTCATAGGTTTTTTCCGACCCGTAAGACAATGAGGAACCTCGCATATGCTTCTCGGTTCGAGCCTTTCCCTCGAATTTTCATCCTCGTCGGGACTCGTTCATGGGACGGACGCGGAGATTTATGACGGGTCAAGAGCAATTTCTCTCAACGGCGTTCCGTTTCTTCGTCTAGGTCGAGCGCAGCCAGTGCCGCGCGTGTCTTTCGCGTATTCCGAGTCGAACGATCGACTTTCGTTCGAGTATCACGTCGCGTGCTGAATTCGCCTCTACACCGTTTTCCTCGTTTCAGGGATATGCTGCCGTTAAATTGCCAGAATAACGCTGGCAACGTGATCGGCAGTTCGGTGAGCAACGGAGAAAGCATTCAATCGTTGCAGAGCATCGATTCGAACGGCACGAATCTAGCGATGTCGCCGCTCTCGACGATGAGCATGTCGCCGGTCGCCGTGAACCCGTGCAGCCCGATGGGTATGAGCCCCATGGCTCCCCGTCATCCCAGATACGCGACACCGATGGTCTCGTCTTCCGTGCACACAACGCACCCTCACAGCGGCGGCCTCAGTCCCATGAACGACGTGAAAGCGCTGTGCTACGGACGTGGAATCTGCGAAACCGGTAAGCTCTCTTCTTCCATCGATTCTATCGTCGATCGTCCGTTACTCGTACGCGATCGAAATACTCTGGTTTCAGGTAAGGACGCGGAACAGAGCTCGGTCTATTACTCGAGTCACTCGAGCATGCATCATCAGTATTACCAGCAAACGCATCATCAGATGATGTCCAGCGCTCATCACTACCAGCATCATCAACAGGGCATGCCGACCGGATACGAAATTACGCTTCCGCCCCCTCAGCACTCGACGTGACCAACCGACTACGAGACCGATCGAAACGACGCGGTTCATCCAGGCCAAGCCGACGATTTGTTTGCTCGTGTCCACGCGTTTGCCTGACTCGGTGTCGTCGCGCCTCTATGCCCGAGCAACGTTTGAAGGGAACCGCGCGACTAATCCTATCGATGCGCGATCCAACCGCTTCGTTCCTAACGCGCGTAACGTTCATTGTACATTTTTCCCATTCGCGGACGTTACTTTTTCGAAAAGCGTAGAAACGATTCGACGCTCGCGCGATGACAAACATCGATCGTGCGCGTGTTTTTCAGCCAATCGAGGCGCAACCTCTTGCGTAAAAGTTCTGGGAGGAGCCTCCCTCGGACGAGAACTGGTTTAACAGGCGCACCCTTCTCAAAGGTGTTCGCGATGGAGTCTCGTCAGCTGCTCCTCCCTCCTCTTTCTACGTACGAGTAAAACGACCGCGCAACGAGCGCATTTCACGAATGCAAATCGATATCGCGTCGCTGCGCCAATCACTTCCTCGAGCGTACGTCTCTTCCTTTCGCACAGTCTCCTCGTAAATTCTTATCCGAACGCGTAACAGGTTTGCTAGAGCGAAACGTGGCTGCGTGGCTCTTCGACGAAAACGAGCCGCTTCCGACGAAACCTGCGCCGTTCTCGCAGCTACGATCCTTTCGTTTCTCAATTTCGATTCGAGCACGATCGATTTGTGCTGTTACTCCGCTCCGAAATTTCGATTCTTTCGATACGAAGAAGCGACTTCTGCTAGGGTACTCGTTCAGGGTACGTGCGTGTGCGCGTGTGAAAGTTCGCCGATGTACATACGTATGTGTAGTACGTATGCATGTGTGTAAGTACGTGTGTACGCATGTATGTATATATATAGATCGATCACAGTGTTCAATCTCTGGTGCGAAATATATTTTTGACCGTAGAATCGAGCGTACGAAGGGGCAATTTGCCCTTCGATAACTCGACTCTCGTGTCCCGAAAGAAAAGAAACGATCTCTCGGCAAACGATGTATCGCTTTGACGAAAATTTATTGTACAACTACGAGCGCGAGAGCGTGAGACGCGTTAGATGTATAGTTAAGTAAATCATAAATCTGTGAATCACGTTTCGATTTTTGTTACACCAAATTTTCATGATCCTTGCCTTGTAACGTTCGCGTTTCTACACTTTAATGGCACGCGCGCGCGCGGTACTAACGTATAAACGAGAAGATATATAATCGATCGTTCTCCGATTGATCTATTCCTGATTCGAATCGCGTACGAGATTAGTCGTTGAAATTTTAAAACGCCTATTGCGAAATAGATATTTTCGGCGACATTATCGTCGGGAAACTAGATTATCGACCGTGGGCAACGTGCCGTTAGCGTCCTCTTTTAAAACGTAATGGAACTAGATTCGTACGGTATGCTTTTTCCTCGTTACCTTCCGTTCCTTTCGATTTACGATCTACGAGTTTCGATACCTTTCGAGACTGGCAACGAACGTACACGAAGATGCATTCGATCCAGCGACGAAATTGTTTTCAATGACGCGCGTGTACATAGCTTATTTATATTTACGAGTCTGGAAACTAATCGAACGGTTGATTGAAAAGAAAGGCGGAAACATAAATTAGGCAAAAGATCTTGTTTACGTTTCGTCGCCTTTCGACGTGAAAACGATGTCAAATATATATATGTTTAGATAACGTATCGATTACAATATACACGGTACAACATATGAAACGTGTTATTCGATTTATGCTTTGATCGGTATGAAAGACGTATCAAAACAAGAAAGATGCACGCGACTCGAAACCCTATCGCTTTGTAGTCGTAAGGCGATCGAACGAACGGTAAAGCGGAATAAATCGTCGGTTAATATCGAATAACGCGAAAACACGAATGCAATAGGAGACGCCATCGATCGATTTCGAAATCAACGAAACAACGATCGAGTGCATCTTGAGATAACCAAGGTAATTTTAACTTGTACGATATAACGAATCGTTCAACAACTTACAATCTGCTTGATCTCATCGATGATAGAAGAGAAGCGACAGAAACGAACGAGATGCGTGTTACGCTTGCTAGTTGCTTCGTTTGGTTAACGGTTGCGCGCCATTTACGAACTGGCCCGATAATGACGTACGCTTTCTTACCCGTGGCATCGCGGTCTACCATCAGCGCCATCTACAGAAAATTTCGAGTACTTCGGAAATAATCGACGCGTTTAAACGTTCCTCGTCTCTGCGGTTCAAGTACGAGCTTTTTTCTTTTTGGATTCGACTTTATATTCGATATTATAACGGTGCCTGTCTCTCGTTAACGATGGACAACGATGGACCACCTTGGAAGAATCGTATTCACGGAAGACGAAGAGCTGGGCTTTCGACGTAAAAGCACGTAAAAGGATCTCGTGTACCATCGTATCGATGAGTTTATCCCGAGTGAATAGGTAATGTACGTGAAACGAATTATACCGATTGCTTTCTAATTATTCGACAAACGTAAAGTAGCAACCCTGCATGCGTTACGTCGAAGGTACGTGGAACTCGGTGGTGAAGAAATAAATTACCTATCAGCTCACGTACCTCTCATATACAATATATCACATATCAACAATTTTATTTAGTCTCGTTTTATTTAACATACAAGAGCTATCTTTTAAACATGACGCACGATTTCAATATGCATACGAGTTTGCATATATTAAATAAAGTCTAGGTTACATTGATATGACATTTCGTTACGGTGAAACTGTACACAAAAAGGGCGCGCAAGCACGAGACTATTCGTTTCTCGGTGTCCTCCTCGGTTGGCTGCTTTTCACCGCGTCTCCACCGCTCCGTGCTGAATTTTACTACTTTCGCGAACGTTTCGCCACAACTCCGACGATCGTAGTACTGGTCTCGTGCTTCTCCGCGTTAGGCGGAGGCGTTTCGTCCTCCATAGAAAATGTTCGGGCCAACAGTTGGGGAACGGCGAGCGGTGAACAGCGAACAGCGAGTTCAGCCAGAGATTACCAAGACGGGACTAGATGAGATACTCTATTCTCGTTTACACGTTTTGGCAGCGGAACGCGCAGTAAGAACGCGGTGAAGAGGGAGAAACGACAGAGGCTCGCGCATCGCTGTCGCGCGTCACGGGAACATCGTACGAACCTGTCGTCGATACATATTGTCTCCAACGTACATTTACACGTACGAAATACAGTCTGCGATTAATCGACGATCGTTCTACATACGGTAGACACGACGCGCGCGCCAATACGCGTACACGCGGACAATTTTAGCATTACTAGACGGTAAACGGTCAGAGACGATGTACAATAAGACGCGAGTGTCGCATTGGAAAAATATATGTACGCGTTAAGTTTAGGAGAGAAGGAATGATAAGACGAGGTTCTAGGTGCGGGCACGCGCGTTTGCGTCCAAGCACAGAGAGATATGTTTAATATACGTTTTGCACGACAAATCGGTTATTTCGCGCGTTACAACAACGATCGGCGTCGGCGCGCCACAAACCAGACGCAAAGGAAATTCTTTCGTATTTCCATTAGGCTACGCTGTTCGAAGGCAATTTCCTTCGATCGCCACTTTTATCCTCTTTTTCTCTGTTTCTCTCTCGCTTACTTATACTACAGCTATACATGCATCCACGAGTAGGCGCTCGCAATCTTCCATCTCGCTTCCCCTCTCGCTTCCCCTCTCGCTCGCTTTTTCTCTCCCGTTCCTTTCCGCAGTTTCCTTCTTTCGCAGTAACTAAGTACATTACAGGCTATGTCATAGCTGCGTCGTTATCGCTGCTGCGCGAGATACGCTTGCCGCGTGATATCGAGTCTGGAAACGAGCACGATACACCCGAACGATCTCGTAGAGCGCGCGCATCGCTTGTTAATATTTAGCAAGTAACGCCGCCGGGATGGCAAGATTGTACAGGGCGAGTAGATTTTCGGATAGATATGTACAGGTGTGTGCCAAGTGAAAACGGAGCGGTGCATATTCGAAATTGCTCTGGATCAAAATCGAAAAGGGTGGGAAGGGGGAGGTGACGGAAGACGCTCGACGCTTCTTTTATCTTTCGTTAGAAAAAGATAAAAGAAAAAGGAGAATAAAATAAAACGGCTGGTACGCGGGGAATTTGGTCGCGCGGTTGCTTTTGAAATAAGAACGTCGCGTTTTATCGGAGATAAAATACGCTCGATCCTCGCTCGAACGTTTCACAGCGTTACGTTTCACAGAACGAAGCATAGACGACGTCTTCGTGTAGGAACAGTCTCTGTTTAAGCGGCAGGATTAAGCCTGCCAGCTTCCTGACTGTTCGTACGAATGGGAAAAGGATTATTATTCCCTCGTCTCGCGCGGTCGCTAGTCGATGACAAATTACGAGATTACGACGATTTCATCGGGAATGGTGCAAGAAGATGGCGTGCTATTCCGTAGTCGAAGATCTTCCGCGTCGACAGGATGCATCGTTAGAGACGAACGCAGCTCCGAGAACAAGGGACGTCGTTTAGAATGGTGGATCGACGACGTTCGTCTTTGTCCCTTGGATTCTCGATAGAACAAAACGCGTTCCACGTACGAACATGAGAACGATAAGAGGGAAGGGGAAAAGGCAGGAGAGTCGGTGGAAAAGAGAAGGCGTAGGAATACCAAAGGAAAATAGGGGCAGAGCGCGTGGGAATGGCGTGGAAAGTGGCGAAAATACGATGCAAGTATCGGCAACGCGAAACACAACGATGGTCCAGAGATCGAGGAAACTAATACTACGACTAAGTTAGGATGATCTCTACTAAGTTTATCGTTAGCGTATTTACTTCTGTTTACCTCTTCGTGATAATCACGCTAGCTTTTATATTATAATTTACACATCGCAACACGACATCGCATCGAATTAGGGATGGGGTTGGTAAGGGGGGCGTCTGAGAAGGTACCGATAGCCGTGGATCACGGCTTTCAACTTCGGTAACAATGTTCCAATTGTCTTCCCTTACGATCGAAAAACCGTCCGCTACTTACAAATAATACTGAATCTACAATATGGTATTTTTAACCGGTCGAACAGCAGGTTCGGACTCGCTGGCGGCGGCCGCGGTTTCTTCGCAAATATTCTCTCGTTCGGTCTTCGTTCTCTCGTTCGACGCTGTGCGAAGACGTAGCCGGCGCTTAAACACCGCCTGTCCAACCGTGTCTCGTGTTTTGCCCGGTTCGTCAGACAGTCTTTTACAAAGGTACGATTTTCTCGTTTCGATGCACCGGCGTGTCGTACGCTGGCACGCATTTGTAGTACTGCGGAGGGTAGCTGGAGTAAGAGGCGTCGGATGGCGAGAGACGAGCTCGGAATCGGCCGCGAACGATGTGAACGATCAACAGCACGCAGAGCAACGTCAATATCGCGATCAAAGTGATCGGTACCGTGCCCCAGCCTTTGCCCGCCGGATGATGTCCGCTGGTCGCTCCGTTTCCTTTCGACGGCTGAAAACAAACGACAAATAGCGATCGATCGTCCATCCTGAGAACTCGAGGAGAAGTTGCTCGGCAAGTTGGCGAATTGGACGAAGTCCGCGAGCTTACCGTAATTGGACAGACCGGACAACAAGTTCCCGGTTGCGGGGGCAACGGATCGTTGCAAGCTACCGAGCAAACAGTCTCTTTGCAGTTGAGCTTCCCTCCGGCTTCGCAGGTACACGAGGTACACGAGTTTTGATGCCAGGTCGATCCTTCCGGATGCGTTCCGTTAAGATGGTCCATGCAGGAAGCACGACAGCGACACATCTACGGATCGATCGTATCGAGAATTCCACTCGGGCCAAAGAACAAACGGAAGGGACGTTTACTTACCGGACAACCGCGTTTGTTCGTCTTGTAACCAAAGGCGCATCGTTTCCTGCATCCGAGCAGAGGCGGGCAGCCCGGCGAGTCCGGTTCCCGGCACTTGCAGAACGTGCAGTCGTTTTCGTCCATCACCAATCCCCGTTCGCAGTGCAAGTCGCACTTTACCTCGGGACAAATCTTCTTCCCCTCGTCGTCCGTGGACACGGTGTCGGTGACAGGCTGCTCGAAGGTTTCCATACTCTGGCAAGTGCACGTCGGGCACCCATCTTCGTCCTTCGCGATCTCGCAGTTGACCTCGCAACGCGGCGGTTTCGGGCAAATCTTGTCGTCGTTGGTAGCCGGACGTTGCGTCATCGTCGCGTCGTCGTCCTGCAAATGGAATTCGATCGGACGTGGGCGTCGGATAGCGTTTCGTCGTTCGATACGTACCTTGGATTCGTCGCAACTGCACACCGGGCAATTATTTTCGTCCGTGGCGTAACCACGCTGGCACGTTAACTCGCATCCTTCCAACGATGTTCGACAGGGCAGTCGGGGTTCGTGAAACGTCGCGTTCGTAAGCGGCGGACAGTGAGGGCAACACTCGCCAGGATCGGGAGGAATCGCGTTTTCGCAGGACTTGCACATCGGTTCTTGACAGGATACCCCGTCCTCTTGACAAACGCAGTTCACGCAGTCCGACTGTTGCCATCGTTCGCCCAACTTTCTCGCCTTGCCCTCGTAGATACAATATTCTGCCTTCTTTGTCGTCTCGGTCGCCACTTCTATCCGGTAGACGGACTCTGCGAGGCAGACGAAAACGTCGATTCGCGTTACACGTATCCGCGTACGCGATAACTCGTTCTTCGTCATCCAAACGAAGGAGAATGCCCGGTCGCGGTCGATAGGCCGACTCGAGGGAGAAACCGGTGGTCCATAGATTCGACGTATCGACGAGTAATCGCGTTTGGGGAGCAGGAAAACGAACGTGCTTTACGTTGCCAGCGGCGAATCGTGCCGGAGCTAACGTCCCGCGTGAATCGTAATCGGATACCGAAACGAACGCCATCGAGCTTCGAACGTGATCGCCGCATCCGAACGCGGTCCTCGACAACGCGTTCACCGGAGTAACGACGAATTCGTAAAAGTTCAACAGGTATCGACGGATGCCGGTGTAAACTCGGTCGCGTTTTTCGCATCAGCGGTCGGAGCTTCTTTTCAAAAAGAGCACGATTAAGAGGAAAAAATTACCTGCGGGTCTACACTCGTAGAGCGGGCAACAGCTTCCGGGCGTCTCGCGATCGAGGGCAGGCCTGACTTGAACGGGCCGATGTCCGGATTGACATCTAGCCGGTGGGCAGGGCGCGCACTCGCATTTTCCATCCTCGGTGAGCACGCTGTTCTCCGGACACGGTTCGGATCCTCGAGGGTCTTTCGTACAAAACGGAACAACGCTTTGAGCGGAGTTTGTCCACGCGAACGGTTCACTGCGTCGTATCGCGTCCAATTCGATCTCTTACCTGTGGGCACGCAATCGTAACGAGCGCAACAGCTACCTGGCGTTTCAGGGTCCGCTGGCTTCACTTGCATCGGACGTTGACCCGCTTGGCATTCGACCGATGGACAGTCGATGGCTGCGCATTTGCACTCGCCGTTCTCTCCTCGGACGCTATCCTCCGGGCAGTCGACGCCACGCGTGCCTCCTTCGAACAGAACCATCGAGAAAGTTAAATTTTTAACAACGGGAAGTTTACGCTGACTTTCGTTACCGAACATCGGCTTCGTCTCGATTCGAACGTCAGAAACGAACGAGGAAACGCGTTATATCGCTTGACCGGCCGGCGATTTATGATCGTACGAAGCACTCGTGACCTTGCAGTTACTATGATATAACGTGCACGTCGTCTCTCGATATTCGTTTACGCGATATCGTCTCGACAGCATCCGAATCGGTCGCTTTCTTACTCGAACGCCGCAGCGCACCGACTTCAGAAATCTCAACGCTTTTCTTTATCGACGTCACTCTCTCTCTCTCTCTCTCTCTCTCTTGCTAGTCCGATCTATACTCGAATACGCGTCTGTCGTTTAAACTCTTCGCACATACGTCAAACATAAACTACGATAAGAGAGGATCCAGCACAGGTTGCTTCGTCCTATAGCTTATCCTTAATCACGCTTATAAAACCCTGAAGCGAACGTCGAATATCACGTCGTTCGAAGTTCGAAGAATTATCAAGGACCTCTGCGTTCTTTATAAAATTACTCGCGGACGAACCAACAACCAACCTGCTGTCTTATCGCTCGTCAATTTTAACGCATCAACCTCATTCGTCTCGCTTCGATGTGGTCGACATTGCTTGCTCGAACGTGTTCCCTTGCTAATTCCTACGGCGACAAAATTGACCTTTTTTTCGGAAAATGCAAATGGGTTTTAGAAACCTCTCAAATTGGGTTTAAAAAACCAGAGCCTAAACCGGGCTCTGTCTTATTGTCTTCGTTAGCTCGATCGTTCTTCCATCGCGTTCCTTTTTTTCTGCTCGTATCGTTACCTGCTCGTCTCCTTTTTTTTTTTCTTTTTCTCTTTTTATCTCTCTTCTATATGCGACTTTGTACGCGACTTACGTTCGCACGAAAAAGAGTATTCAAGCCGTTTAATACTTAATATTAAATTAAACGAAAGAAAGAAAGAGGACCAGCGTTGGAGGACTATCGTTCGGCGAGGCCGGGATGAAAAATGCTTTGGTTTTTTACCGTCGCTTCGAACGAACGCGCCGTTTTTTTCCATCGATCGATTCGTTTACCGTAATCTCGGTTGCGCTGCAGAGAACGACGTTGCTTCCCGTTACTGAAATATTACTCCCCGAGGATAAGGCAGGATATGGCACATTCCCAAAGAAAAATTGGCCACGCAAACGGCGCCGACCCGGAGAAATCGTCGAAACCATACAGCCGCGTTTACCTGCTGGTCGCGAACAGGTTTCGATAAAAGAAGTCGAGATTGGCTAAATACGTTCGAACTTGGAACCGTTGCCAAGGCCGCACGATCCGACTCTTTCGTACGGCCTCGATACGAAGATCAACGATAGCCAGAATTACGCGTGAAAAATCGTTCCAACGTTCGCTGACCATCGACCGGCCTGTGTATGCCGAAGGGATAACGATATTTTTTCGTGACCAGAAAGCGCACCGTTGTTTTCGTTGGGCTCTCGATCGGCTCTGTTTCGCAGTTGCACATTTCGATTTTTGATAACATCGCTCCGGTTGGCGGAAGCGACGCGAAAGAAAAATAGCGTTGAGATTCGCCAGCGTGCCACGTGCCGGAAGGGACGTCGGTCGGAGATCGACCAGAAACCAAACCGTCCCCTCTGTCTCGACTGTACGTCGTTCAGATCGACCGAATCTCTCCCTTATCCATTTTACAGACAAAAAGAAACGTAAGAGAATTTGGTCCCTTTTGTGTAATCATTGTTATTTATTCGGTGGCGTCGGCGAGATAAATCCTTCGTTACAATAAACGTACAATTATATAAGCGTGTCGCAAAACACAGGTGCACGTAGCAAACGAAAAAAGAGGAAAGATTGATTCGTACGAGATTACGCAAGCGATTTCAGGATTTACATACGGTCACGCGAGCAGAGTGGCGAAAGGTAGTTACAGAGTCAGGGAAAAAGTGGAGTTCGTTGCAGAAATTGTTGCCATTTGTAACTAGACTTCGAGGCATTTGGTTGGATTATGGCAGTCGGGCATAAATCGCTTTCTAACATAACATAATCCGCGATCAACGAACGAGGATGATCGATTTACGGTATTTTTTCTTTTTTCTCTCTTTACGAGGAATCCTTTGCATCGCGTCGCGTAGCTTTACCTCGTCGTGCAAGTATGGCAAAAATGCCGGACACATTGCGAAAAGAAGATCGACTTTTGTTTCTCGCTTTCCATCCAGCTCGTCGCTTTTCATCGTGTCAAGGTCAGCGATCGATGCTTGGTCGTGCTAACGCGCGCGCGATAAAACGCGGCATCCTATCAGCGAGCATCGATGATAATTTCCGCTGGCCAGCCTCGTCCATCCGTCAACGTCAGAGTCGACGTTTTCCTGCAACGGAACAGGACCCGATACGCTTTTCCATCGGCGATCGCAGCTTTTTCTCTTTCGTCGCAGCGCGTAAGCGAGTAACCGAAGCTCTACGTTCACGCGGTGTTTGTCCACGTGCCAGAGTATCCAAGCTAACGACGTCGGCCATAAGTACACATCCGCGTTCGTCGAATTCTCAACATCGAATTCTCTCATCGAAGCGAAAGGTTTTCGCACACGTTGGGAAAACTCGGTGCGACGCTCGCCTCTCGACCGAGCACGTCATCCTCGTGTACGCGAACCCTTCGGATATGAGCAAACATTTACGGCTACCCTCTCGCGGATAGTTTGACGTTCGATAAAGCAATTAAGCGGAAGGTAGCGAGGCTCGAGCTCCGCCTCGCAACGGACATCACGTGCGACGTTCGCCGACAAAATTTTAAACAGCGTTGGAAAAGACGAGCTCGATCTCCGGAGCTCGGACGAGCTTCGTCGAACCGTTCCGCTATCTGGTCGAGAGTAATCGAGCTTCCGCTTAATTGGTTTAACATTTCGACGTTAATTCGACGACGGACAACGAGCCGCAGGAAGCGAAACCGTACGTCGCATTTCGCGTCTTCTACGACGATAAAAGAGCGTTGCTATCGTTCACCGACGATGGAATTGGACGAACTTCGTTTGCCGACTTTGCTTGCTTTTTGTCATTATCTTCGTATTTCTCAGCTTCTCTCATTTCGCTTTGCTTCTCTTCTTCGCTCGCTTTTTCCCATCGCGCCGAGAGAACGAGAATTTGCGGAGAAATTTTAACGCAAGAGCGCGCGAACGTCGAGCGTATCGACGACGACTCATCGGTCATCGTGAGACGCACGACGATCAAACTTGGGTCGAGCTCTCGTTCCTTCCGCCCTGATCGAGCGTCGTGGAAGTCGTTGAACGCATTGCGTGTCATTCCTAAAGATGGATGATCGCGGCGAGAACGACCATTATCCATGGCACGACATTGTCTCGAGTAATATCGTTGATGGCGTAACGCGTTCTCGATGGCATCGCGCGTTCTTCGTCGTTCGAGAAAGAAACCTTGGAGCATTTTCAAGTCGCCTTCATCGCGACTTATCGACTTTCTGTCAACGAGGTCGGGCCTCGCGTTTCTACGCCACTTAGCACACGTTACCGCTGTTTCTTTTACGGCGCTCTGGGTTTCATTAAACGTAGCTGCGGTCATTACGACAACCCTTGTACCTTAATCAGGATTTAGTACCCTTCCTTATACTCCCTCACCTTGTCCCGGTCATCTGGCAATCTCGCACGGCCAGGCAAGGAGAAATCAGTTTCAGAGGGCTTGGAATTCTTTTCTCAGGTTGCTTGCTTATAAATCCTGCTGGGATATCGATAAAAGCTGGTCAACGAACGTTCGCGACCACGACTGCGCCTCTAAATATAAATTCTATCCACCTGCAACCGGGCGATCGGCTACCCAGGCTACTTCTCTATTTAGAATCTTAAATGGATTTATCGACTGTCCACAGTTCCTTAGCCGTATCAATTTCCATAGACCGTGCTACTTTTCTCCGCGCCACTTTTCCTTATTCTATCCTCGGTGCTTCTCCTCCAGATTTCGCCACATGGACGCTATCGGCCGTGTGTGTGAGCTGGGCCACGCTTTATGCAATAGAATCAACTTCTCTTCCACGTCGACCAGCTGTCCGAGAAAGAAGATCTACGAAACAGAGCGGTTGTACTCGGTTCGCTCCGGAGGGACACCACGAACGAAACGAGAGCTCCGTTTTTCGGTGAATCGCCTGCTGCGTTCGTCCAAAGCGAGACAGAGTAATTCCGCCCTTAAAAGAAAGACAAAGATTCGCCCTTAGCTAGCCCGAGCCAACAGCTAGCGTAGCCTATTATTATATCCACATGTTCGTCTCGTTCTCTCGCGACGACTGTATCGTCCCGACGCTTAGCTTCCCCTTATCGGATTGCACGTAGGCGCAGAGACGATTCTCTTTGCCATTTAACAAATAAATAAACTCGACGACGATTCGCCGTTGCCAGTGACGTATCTAGAGAACGTTTCCGTCGCGCAGAAATCGTCGGTGCCTTTTTCCTAACGTCGATTTCGCAGCCCAGCGGATTTCTCCTCTCGACAAATCGGTTTTACGTGGCCGCTTAAATCATCGGGTGTGGCTAGAGCAGCAGGGGAAAGAGGAAGAAGATAGCAAACTGTCGGCTGTCAAAACGAAATTACTTAATTCCGGGCGCATCCTTCTGCTGTCGCTACGCTGCCACGACTCGCTCGTAAATTCACCGGTGATATCTTTTAACGAAAGAGACGGATCCGGAGATGGAGTCGAGAGGCTCTCGATATTCTTTCCCCTATGAATCATCGACTGGAAAAGCGCGTTACTTTGTTCGTCCGCGCTGCCTCACGACCCAGCCCCGTCCATTCCAGGGGCAGAACTGCGTTATCCGTTATTCGCTTTTTTCCTACATCGGCTAGTCGGACGATTGATTTGAAAAGCCGATATAGGAAGAGAAAGAGAACGCTGCAAGAGGAGGCTCCTTGCTCGTGTCCTTGTGCAATAACGCATAGACATTCGTACGGTAAATATTGCCTTGGCAACTAAGCGATTGCG